TCAAATCATAGCTCGGCACGCTAACTGATTGGCCCTGTCGGATTGGCTAGGCACAGGTAGTTATGAACAATTTTATAAATAAATGAAGATTAATTATATTTTTCAATGTAACATTATTTAACATTCAAATAGTAATATTTTATTAAATAAAAGAAGCTATTAGGGACAGGGAGTCTTTATAACATCAAATCATAGCTCGGCAAGCTAAATGTTTGAACCTGTATCTGTCAGATTGGCTAGCACAGGTAGTTAATGAATAATTTTATAAATAAATGAAAATTATTTATATTTTGCAATTTAACATTCTAATAGTATTATTTTATTAAAAATGATATTGCACAAAAATGGCAATTGTTAAAGATAATGTATTTAAAATATAGTAATGAAGTCATAACAGCCAATGTTAAATAGGCATACCATTATACATGAACAAAAGCATCATAAATAAGCATTTATGATACAATGAGTAAGGTATGTATATACAAAACAAATTGTTAAAAAATGCCATAAAAAGGTAAGTATAGTGCACCAGAAAGTGTAGTTAAGTATACTCAAATCTATAATAATTAAAGATACTTACGCTGCCAAAATATTTGTCTAATAGTTCTACATATCTGTGTATTATCTCGAGTGTTAATAGTTCATTATCATTCTGTTCAATTGCACAACAAAAATATAAACTCGCATACCTGCAAATACAGATTAATTGAACGACTGCCACATTGTACACATGTGTCACAAGAAAATAAATATCTCACCTTTTATATACAACTTTAACATCCTTCCATTCTAAAAATGAACACATTTTAGGTTTCCTTGCTAATATGGTAGTAATTAATTCCCTAGTAATTTTTTTCTTTAATTTGTCTGTGTATGCTACGTACCATTTTTGAAGTCTTAATTTACCTTGACGACTGAATAGTAGCATGAATTGCATCTAAAATTATGGAAAAAAATGTTTAAAACCCCAATTATGTAACCACGACGTATAATAAATATCTTTACCATTTTGATATATTGTTTTTTAAAATTAATATGCCATTAAACCCGATCAAACACTTCGCTATTGACGGCTGCCGAGTCGTTGACGTAGGTAAATATGGTACGGCCCAAAATGACAATTCAAGTCATAGATAAAAGATGATTCATGTAATCGGGCAACACCAAACTGTCACGAGTACCTAGCAACAGGCGTACCATCAGAAGGCGTATTCAAAGCAAATATTTGAATATGAAGCTATTTGAATATGAATATGGAGCTATGAATATGAATATTTTCATATTGAAAATTATTATGTATGAGTGTTATATATATACTCTACCTTGTATCATTTCAAATGTTTAAGACATTCTATTCAAAATATACTTTTATTGTAATGCACTTAATATTTTATTTTTATTTTATTTTTGTATTCGTTTAACTTATTATATATATATATATATATATATATATATATACATATGAGTAAGTTCTTTAAAAACTTACACATATATCTCTAAAATTAAATAAAAATTAAGTGAGTTAAAATATAAATATGGTTTTAATCAATTGTCTTGATTTTTTCAAGTGGTACAATGTACATCATATATATATATATATATATATATATATATATATATATATATATATATAATAAATAAAGAAATGTTTTTTTAAAAAACTTTTTTGTTTTTTATTACTTTTTGGATTCTTTGTTTGAAGCTCTACAAAATATTTACAAGTCCAAGACTTTACCATATATACGAGGTCTGTTCAAAAAGTTTTCGTAATTTTCGTTTTTTCAAAAAAATATTTATTTATTCGTCTACATTAATGTGGTCCCCTTCAAAGTAGTCCCCCCCAGATATAATACACTTATGCCAGCGTTTTTTCCAATTTTCGAAGCACCCTTGATATTCACTTTTTGATATGTCCTTGAGCACTCTCGGCGATTTTCTTCAATCGAGGAAAACCGCCGTCCTTTCATGGGTCTCTTCAACTTTGGGAATAGGAAAAAGTCACACGGAGCCATATCTGGTGAATTTTTGCACTTTGCAACACTTTATTTCATTTTTTACGCAAAATTTAATACAAATTCTTTGACTTTTTCAATTCTTCCATTGTAAAAATCGCCGAGCTCAGAAAAACACGTCGAACCTTAGCGACTACCACAGACAAAGTAAACAGTGAATATAGCTGAAAATTTCATCATACTTTAGGGGCATGTATACCAACACAATAAAAAAAAATTTTTGACAATCAGACACTCCAGACCCGCGAAATTTAATTATTAGTAATTCCGGGTACTTTTTGAACAGACCATGTATATATATATATATATATATATATATATATATATATCCCATCCTGTCTCTTCATCTCGATACTTAAGATTTGTTTAAAATATTTCTGATATCTATTCACATGTTTTAGTACTGTGTCAAGCTCTGTAAGTGAGTTGGTGTTTTTCGTATTTTCAAAACTTAAATGTAATTTAAATAAAATATTGAAAAATGTGTAGCATATAAGTTTTGAAATTACACTGAAGATGAAGCATACCATGGTCTCAAAACGTCTTACGGTAATTACAGCTGTAATTACCAAATAAAGTGTGTGTTAAAAATATGAGTGTTGTATTGTTCATATTTAACATATATATATATAATGTACATTATACCATTTGAAAAGATCAGGACATTCGATTCAAACCATACCTATATTTTAACACTTAATTTTTCTTTTCTTCTGGTTTTTGTATGTCATTATATTTTCAATATATATATATATATATATATATATATATATATATGCATATATATATAATGTATAATGTATCTTTTTAAAAATGTAAGACATTCGATTCAAAACATACCTTTATTTTTATGCACTTATTATTTTTTCTTTTCTTCTTGTTTTTCTTCTTGTTTATCATTATAATTTTATAATTATAATATATATATATATATATATATATATATATATATATATTATATATTTATATAATTAATGCATGCATATAATGTACTATGTTCCATTTCAAAAGTTCAAGCTATTCGATTCAAAACATACTTATTTATTATAATGCACTTGATATTTTTTCTTTTATATTTGTTTACCTTTGTAAATATATATATATATATATATATATAATATATGTAATTTTAAATTTATAATGGTAAACAAGAAGAAATTTTTCGATTCGATTCAAATTATAAATATATTTCAATGCACCTAGTGTTTTTGTTCACCCTTGTAATTTTATATCTAGTACTTGTTTTCTCAATTCAATTATATAATTGTAATTGGTATAATAAAATATAAATTTAATTGAACTATGATATTGTAGTATTTGATGGTACAATTATGTGTAATTGCTATTCAGAAATTAATCGCTTATGGTTTATATAGTTTATGTATGTAGTTAAAATCATTAGTAAATAGCACTTTTGTTTCTTAAAAATCTGAATCAAATAGATAAAGCTGATTTTAAAATAAATCATATAAATAAAATGTAGTTTACGAGAATGTATCAGAAAAGCTTTCAAAGTCTAAATACTATTTTTTGTTCTAACATTCCATAAATTGGTTTCTATGTATAGAGAAGCATATTCGATTTCAATAACATTTTGTTTACGAGAATGTATCAGAATTGTTTTAAAAGTCTAAATACTATTTTTTTTATCTAACATTCCATAAATTGGTTTCTATCTATAGATAAGTATATTCGATTTTATTAAGATTTTGTTTACAAGAATGTATCAGAAAAGTCTTTTAAGTCCAAATACTATCTTTCGATATAAAATTCTATAAATTGGTTTCTATCTATAGACATGTACATTGGATTTTCATGAACATTTTGTATTACTAGAATGTATCAGAAAAGTATTGAAAGTCCAAATACTATCTTTCGATCTAACATTCTATAAATTGGTTTCTGTCTATAGATGAAGAAGTATATTCGATTTCATTAACATTTTGTATTGTGAGAATGTATCAGAAAAGTTTTGAAAATCCAAATACTATCTTTCGATCTAACATTCTATAAATTGGTTTCTATCTATACATGTATATTCGATTTCATTAACATTTTGTTCACGAGAATGTATCAGAAATGTTTTGAAGGTCTAAATACTATTTTTTGATCAAACATTCTATAAATTGTTTTCTGTCTATAGACATGTATATTTGATTCCATTAACATTTTGTACCAGATTTTATTTAATTATTTGACAGAACATATTCCTAAATAGAAAGAAATAAATGAAACAAACTGCATGTTTACATATTATAAGTTTGTATTATTTTCTTTTTGGCACATAAAACGCCTGATATACAATTTGACAATACTTTTTAAATATCATTTTCGCTACATGACTTCAGTATATCAGTTTAAAATTAATTTAAATTAAATATATTCCATATCTCGCTCACCTAAAGTGAGCTTGCAAACTATTTCGAAATGCGATGGCCGATTAAATTTTTCAATACATTTTACATGATGGAATTATTTCGGTATCACAATTAAGAACATATTTGATTACAATATAGTCGTCATTTATACAGTCGCAATATATTTATATGCGATTATTTTTACACAAGTAAACTAGCATATCTATGAGTTATAATCAATCCTAAATAAATCATATTTTAAGACTTCTATATCAATTTTAAGTACAAACTTGATATATATTTTTCATTTGATACATTTACGCATTTCATAATCATAACGCATATAACGGTTACACTAACATTCATTTGACATATATCTATATATGTATGTATAGAGCTCTGGTTATCAATATAAATAAATAATTATTTGCTTAAACCGCATATCGGATATAATATAATAAAAGTACTGGCATTAGCATAACGACAATAATAAAACATAAGATTCTAAATTGCACTATTCTTTTTTTTATCGATGTTGTTGTATAGTACCCACGTATATAGTAGTAGTTATAGTATTCTAATTATTCATACCCTAGATACCTACGATCTTATCATTAACACTGATGGAGCGCCTGCATCTCCCTGCAGTCAGTTATTTTACAAGATTTGGATCACGATGTTGGCACAAAGTCTATACGTATGACGGTCAATCATCCTCGCGCGGTTCGTATGCTAGCCCATCAGGTGAAAATCCTGCAGGAGACAAGCTGTCTGGAGGATAGTAATATCCGCCAGCGGCAGGCGATGGCGAAGCCGCAGAAGGACCGGGCGACGCCAGATCAGGCAAGAATGAACCCGCATCTCCCTCGCGACACCACAACTGCCGCATCTCTTGGCGTCGGGTTCTCATCAAGGTTTTGTATTCAGAAATGCGCATTTTTTTGCCATCAACTATGCAAGTTCTCTTCGGTCGCGGTCGGTATCGATAATCTGGATGCTGTTCCATGTGCAGTTTAGATAATCGAGATTGTTCTTCATAGTACGGCTGCTTGTCTGCATTACTCATTGCCTTCCAACGGGCACCTAGTATCTTGGATATGTTAGAATTATGCATATCCGGGCAGGCTTTAAGAATCTTGCGCCGTTCGTCTTTAGCCCAAACCATAAATGCGTTCATCGGTCGCTTGATGTGCGGTTTGGTTTCACCGGGATCACGGCGTCCAGGCCGAGCTGCACGGACCTTATCAGTATCCTCTGCAGGTTTGAGTGGTTCTGGACCCCACAAGCGGCAGGCGGATAGAAAGTCTGGCTCCTCAGATGAAGGTGGTGGCGCCTGTGGGGGTGCGTAAGGTAGAAAACTGCGTTGTTGTGGAGGAACCGGTGAAGGCACCAGCTGTTGCTGTTGGGCAGATGACAACTGTTGTTGTTGGGTGAGGTTGGATCCTAAGGCGTCTTTGGGTTTACTTAGATTGAGTGGCGCATCAGGATCCAATGGCGGCGGCTGTGGAGCGGGTGCTGGAATTGGTACAGGAGCAGGAGCGGCATGTGGTGGACTGCGGCGCTCAGGGGCAGCTGCCGCGAGCCAATTACCCGGTGGACACGTGCGCATGAATGGCATAAACATCAGGGGTCGTGGTGGACCAAACTGAGCACTAAGCTGGTTTTGGAGTTCCACTTGTTGCCGCTCATGTTGTAAGCGACGTGCATGCTCCTGTTGCTGCAAACGCTCTTGCTCCAAAACACGCTGGTTGACATCTCCCAGCAGCGGCTGTAAGAACAATGAAATTAGTATTTGCTTATATATTGTCACACTAAGCTAATAAAATAATTACTAAAAATAAATTAAAATAAAAGTTGGTATCAATTACATATTAATAAACAAATATGTACACAGAGCTAATATATACATCTTAATGAGAAATAATTAGATTATATTAACAAATATTAACTTTCTACATATTTGAATCAATGCACAAAACATTAAATATATTTAGATATAAGCAACTGGCTCAATACATGTCGCACCCCTTTGTGAAACTCAAGTAAGTATATCTCTTCGACAACTCTTTTTCGTTGTAGTATTATTCCGTCAGAGAGGAAGAGTTACGACACCGGGAAAACAGCCGACATAAAGAATACATCAATTATTGATGCAAACACACCCGGAAAGTTCTGCTCAAAGATGTACTATATTCATGATGTACGCAAACCGCATGCAATAGAAAGTGTGTACCTCATTCCACGCAAAACTTATTTAAAATAATGTCTGGAGGATATTGTAAGAAATATTATGCATGGCATCTACGACAAGTACAAAAAGGAAGCCAAGGTGTTACCAAACTATTTTGGATTTTGCTGATTGAATGACGACTATTTTATGAATAATGTTTTCTAGTTTTAGTTGATCTATTCTTTCAAGTAATTCTGCTCAGAACAAGCACTAAAAATCACTTAAAATATTATCTTTCAGAAATATATATTACAATAATATTGAGAAATCATACTTCCGCAAATTACAGTATTCGTTTGGTCTGCGTTACGACGCATCAAAGATTTTATTGCTCCCGTTGTTTATAAAGAGCTTGCAGCGTACACTTTGTCGATATCTCTTACAGCGGGGCCATGTGCCACATACAACCTTTGCTATAGACATTTTAATACACAATATTAAAATAAACAAACATTCATATACTCGGAATAATATAAATATAAATTCGAACGAATACACATAGGTTGTGTTTTGAGCGCAATATGCGCCTGTCATATTTGGAATCAATGAGGGAATATATAGGTACATTAGACAAATATCTATACGGATCAAATTTTGGCTTCTAATATAACTGTATATAAGTATCACTACTATTAATATTTTACCACATCCAACAAATAGCTCTAAATATAGAATAAGTTTCTATACAATAAAACCTTTAACCCCATGTTACCAAGAATCACAGCATATCCATAAAAATCTAAAACCTCATCCATAAGCGTCGAGTGTGATATGTTATACGATTTGCATGATTACGGTGCATCTGATGCCAATAAATGATAAAGAATCGGTAAATCCATCAGGGGTAAATTTCTAAAAGAGATGATAATCCAACAAAACGATTAGCTATAGAAATAAGTTTATCGGACAGTTCTATCTTTGTGCACGTGCGTAACTCTCGGAACCCCAGAGATAGAGCTGTGGTTTAATTGGGGGTTGCAACAAATATATTTATTCAACGATAAATAAAAATATGCTTTTGTATACAAAACACGGTGCTACAAAAACATAGTGATATTGGCATTAAGACATTGGCTTAAGATTGTAGTTGGCGCAATTTTAAGTAAAGTCATATCAACATCACTATAGTAAAAGATATTCTAAAATCAACCTTAATGAAATAACCTATATCACTTTATGTAATCTCTATATTAATAATTAAAATAATCAATATTATTTTTGTGGTAGTCTGTAGATTAGCAGAATTCTACAGCATCTCGTCAGTTCATAAGCTATCGCAAATTTGGAACCAATCGGTATATAACAGCCATGCCACTAATTTACTATTAACACACTTTCAGCGGGCCGGGTACTGGTACCTGGTTTTAGGATTGTCATTCAACTGCGGGTGCGGGTATTTTCGGGTACTCGCTCGGTACGCTAGATGCGAAGAGCGAACGAAATTTCTTACTATGAGCGGTTGCAACGCTAGTTTTATATTTATTATAAAACTATAATAAAATTATAATTTATTCTTTAAAATTATTTTCGATACGTAAATACGTATATATTACATAAATATATGGTATTTTATTAAAGACGATATGTTTTACGTCAGCATTTTTGGTAAACAAACTATTTCTTTTAATACTATATTACCATTTATATATTTTGCTATCTTTGTATTTATTGCGTTTCGAATATTCATATAATTTAATTTTCAAATACAATGTTAAAAATAAGCTATTACATTTTTACAAGTAATCGAACGTAGCTTATATAAACATATTATTATTTAGGTAATTAACTATTAGGTTTGTCACTAATTTATACACCATAAAAATTAATTTCAAACAATATTAAAAACAATCGAATTTTCAACGTAAAACTTTAGATTGTATATAGTATGATTATAAGTGATAAGGGACTTTATACATGATTGAAGAATGGAATTACTTTGTCTAATTTACGTACCTGGCAACAGGTAATTTTATCAAATACAGTATCCGGCGAGTAATAAAACTAATTCATTAATTTACTGTTGAATGACGAATTTTCGCAATGTTTTTCAATTGTGCTTGGATTACAGGTAATTTGAAAATGTATGATATCATATTTCTCGTATTTTATTATCCAATTTCTTTTATTTGAAAAAATTCAATGGAATTAAATGTATTTAATAACCTGTTACTTCCTATTACCTAAATAAATCTACAAATTTATATTTAAAATCTAATCTAATTAAGAATATTTATCATATTTAAAACAAGCATTTAAGCAAAAGTAGTAAAATATGGTATTCTGATTAGAATGGCGTGCGAAGCAAAGTCAGGCTACATATGCAATTTAAAAATTTACTATGGAAATGGCAATAGTTTACAGACAACTATATTAGATATATTAGAACCTTTTTTAAATTTGTGGCATCATTTAAATATGGACAATTTTTATAATAGTGTAAATACAAGTTCATTATTACGACAAAATAAAACTAGAATTTGTGGGACTATAAGAACAAACAGGGGCCTTCCTGAAGAACTTAAAAATTTGAAACTTAAAAGAGGAGAGACAATATTTAGAAGACGCCAAGAAGTTTTGTCACAATGCTTCAAAAAGAATAGCCCAAATGATTTCTACAATTCTAAACTTATTGCGTAAAAATGTGTAGTGTATAATCGTGTAAAAAACCTACCTATAACAAACTTTTCTGTGTATTTTGATTAATTGATTTTTATGATTAAATTCATTTTTTTATTTCAGAGACTAAACGTAAGAAAACGTATAGAAAATTTTTCTGTGTATTTTGTTTTAAATTTTTAGAATTAATTACATTTTTCATTTCATTGCCTAAACATATGTATCATTTCATAATAATATTCAACTTTATTTGCAAATGTTTTACCTTCAGTATTGATAGTTTTACTTCATAATAACTTAATATTATAGTATTTACTACTGCGTATGAATTTAGGCAGTAAGTATTGTAAGTAAAAGACTGTGCATTCATGCCATGCTTACGCATTCGCACCGTTGTAAAAACCCCGCTACGGGTACAAGTTAGCCCGAAATCCTATCCGCCGAAAGTGTGTTAACGTAAAAATGTATATACAAATAAGTATCTACTGTGTTCAAATACTTATTTATTTAATCCCAAAAAATGTAAAAAATAACAACTTCTTTTTTTTAACTTTCCGTAGGGTAGGTTATAGTAATCTCAAAAAAACGAAATTAAAATTTTTTATATATTTTTACGTTTCAAAGGTGTCTGAATATTTTGGCATACATTAGAAAAAATGGATGTATGTGTGTGTATGTGTGAATACAATTTTTCGTCGACAATTTCGAGAACACGAATCAACTAATTTGAATGATTCAAAAAACATTCGATTCCTGTTATTAAGGAGACGTGCTGATTAGTTTTTGCAAAGGCAGGTTCAGCCGTTCCGAAGATACGAGGCAAAAAGTGCCAAAAATGTTAATTCAATTTTTGAGAGAACCGAGCGTCCGATTTGAATGATTCAAAAAACATTTTATGTCTAGCGGTTTCGGAGATCCAAAAAAAAGTAAAAAATGCCATTTGGCTGACAAAAATGACCATTAGACATATGCACATCAAATTATCACATATTTTAATAATGAGAACTAATTTTGTTTACTTTTCTGTGGGTTCCGTACCAATGTTTATCCGTTATACTGTGACGCGGCGCCCACGCGCTTCGATATTTCGTTTCTACGCAGCTAACGTATCGCGATTGCTTTAAAAAGAGCTCAAAATATTTCAAAGTATAAAAAAAATTAAATTTTTCAAAAAAGGGTATTTTCTCAAAAATTTCAAAAATCTAAAAAATCGATTTTTTTCAGAGTTCTAAAAGAAAATTGAATCTTTGTTGAAAAATTTAATTTTTGGTACGGAAAGTTCCAGCAATTTTCCTTAAAGCGGGATGCCATGCACCACTAGTTTAATTCGTATTCCGTTATTACATGCTAAATACAATTAGTCATTTTATTATAAGATTAAAAATTAATTACTTGTAAAAAAAAGCAGTCTCGTATTTTATTCATTAAACATGAATAAAGTTATCAATATCTAATACTGAGAGCTATACCATTTTTTCCCAGCTTTTTCTTCACACGCTATCGTTTTCTTTTTATATCAGAATAGTGAATCGAAATCCGTCAAACTATCATCACTAGTGGCGCCATAAGCGGCAAAATGTTGAAGCTTACAGTTTACAACTTACAATTAATAAATGTATCATTTTTATATTTATCAGCAATTAATATAAATTAAAAATATAAATATACGATTTTATTCTTCATTATTTTAATCTGTATTGTTATTCATATAAGATTAATTTTTATTAAGTTTGTCATGATATCCTATTTCATTTTTTCCCTCCATATTGGTACCTGTCATCTGTTTTCGCGCGAAAATTCTATATGGTTCAACCACCACATACCAGGAATGTCAAGGCACAATTTTAAAAGAAGTCAGATAATTATATATATACTAGTGCATAAATATTTATACTAAGTGAATAACTACAATAAATAATAAAGAATTCAATTTGATTAAATTCAAAGTGGTTTTATTAATACAGTGATAATTTTTGCTTGTAAGTGTGCATTTATTGTTAAGGGAATTCAGGTAAGTATTTAGATATAATAAATTTTCAAATGTTAACAATAAATTATACTGTTGTTCGTATTAGTTATTAATATAAAGTGATAATTACTATATTATTATTAATTAGTATATATAGTAAAAAAATATTTTCGTCAGAAAATCAAAATTATAATTTTCTCAATGCTTAAAGTCATTACGAGTCGTTCGAAATTAAAATTAAACATATAAATATAATTGAAAATTAACTTAAAATTTTATATCTACAAATTTCAATTTGAAAGATATTAGCGGGAAATTGTGCTGATTAGTTTTTAGTGAACATTGGCCGATTCTTAATTAATTATACAATTATTTTTTTGGCGTTTTTGATAGAACTTTGTATCATGATAGAGTACATGGTCAAAACCTTGGCTACTTAAACTGTGGGTCGCGTAGGAAAATTATAGAGTCGCGAAACCGTTAAGTGGTCAAATATATATATATATATATATATATATATATATATAACATTTTATAACATCACGACTAGATTTTTGTATGTTTTACAACAAATTCTATAACTTTATATTTTCATATGTATATTGTTACCTGATAAATAAAACATCTAATAATAATATTTTTTATATTTGTGTGTGGCCGTCAAAAAAATTTTAAGAAGCCCTGGTCTAAACCACAGATTCCCAAACTATTTTATTTTGTGATCCCCTTATAGGCCTTGCCATGGACCCCCTTTATTTACCCAACATCGATTTTATAATTTTTTTTTTATAAATCTATAGAATTTTTTTTTCATATATAAATATTATATATGACTTTA